TCATTACTCCTCTTAAAAATGAAACAACAGCCTGCAGTAACATTAGCTTGTCTGTTTCGCTGTTAATGTTTGTAACAATATATTAGAACACCTCCGATAATCCCTAGCAACACAAACCAAACTACATGCTTATTATGTATTTTACCCGAGTAGTCTTCTGAATGTCGAAATGAGAGCTTTCGTTATGATAAAATTACATTCCTGTTTACCTGAAGTTTAACAAGACAATGTGTTAGGACTGCTATAGACTAATACTGCTCTCACAAGTCAGCAGTAGCTCAGTCCGGTACTTCAATGATAACCCAAAATACGTATGTAGGATGCAGCAGCCACCTGTGCAGATGACCACGGAAGACACAGAAAATCATACATAGGCTTGTTTGGCCCTTTACAGAAGAGCTGGATTTCAACCTTTTCAAACATAAGCAAATAGATTCATGGATGTGGGGTTTTATTCAATGGAAAAATAAGTGAACTAGAAAACCAGCACATCTAAAATTTCATGGTTACATTTAGGGCCAGTTCTGCTCATTACTCATGCATATAATCACAGTGACTATTTCTGCAAGTAAAGAAAGAAGACTCAAATGTAGTGTCTGAAGTGGAATTTTTTTTAATGAATGACCAATTTTGTCTCGACTCCTATTTCAGTGTGTCATTTACCTTGATTAAGTAGTAAATCTCTTCCATCTTGTTATTTAGAAATCTAATTCTGATTTCATCTTTACAATATTTAAAGTATCCTACTAAGCATGACATTTTTTGTGGGAATTTGCAAAAGTTCAATAGCACTTGTTACTTGTTTGCAACAGAAATAGATTCATTTGTTAAAAGCTAACAAGAAAAGTTTGAACTGTAAAGATGTTTCATTATTGTGCTTTTCTGACAGAACATGTAATCCTTGTGTAATTTATGTCCTCAGAATAACACCTGTATGTACGCTCTTTCATATTTAATAGAATAAAACAGTTGTAAAAACATCATTGAAATAATTGTTTATTGTTTGCCTACTCAGTCTCATAGTGTGAAACAGCTTTAATGTAAACTGCTCCCTATACTTAGGAGTCAACAAAAATCTCATAATGATGCTGGGCAAATAGGTGATACTAATTTTGAAGTTTATTATTACTCCCTGTGTTTATATTTTATGTGACAGTTTTCAGTGAGGAAGCAGTGCATTAAAAAGTCTGAGGTCATATATCTAGAACCACAAATTTCTTAAAAAGAAATCTAGTTTGGCCGGAGTTTGTGTTTCTTCAGATACAGGGCTGGGTGTGAAAGAACCAGTTATGCTATGCCAGTTTAGGGTTCCTGATACTCAAAAATGGGAAAATGGCTCAAGCTGATGTTCAAAAAAAAAACCCACGCTTGAGCTGGTTATATTAAGACCTACTTTGTGACATTTTCAATATATGGTATGATGCTTTTACTGTCAGTGATATACATACCATTGCGTAAGTAGAATTTGTATGAGCTGGGAAATAACTCTCACTCTGTATTTAAAGGTCTGTACACAGAGGTGTACGCTTAACAGAGAACCTTCTCGGTCTTGCTTTACAAAGCCTGGGTGAAATTCTCATTTCAGTGGGACCATTTCCTCCCTATGGAGTTATTCTTCCAACTCTTCACACCAGTCATGTTCCATGGCAGAGGTTTGGAGGGGAGGCTCAGCAATAGTCTGTTGCAGCCAATAATTAACTCGCAGTGTTTCACAAGTACAGGAATGTAATATATTCAGAAGGGAAGAGTGCACCAGATGCATATATATATATATGTGTGTGTGTGTGTGTATATGTATGCATATACATAAATACGTGTGTCTATATATGTTTTTCCAGCACTGATTCTGTGAAAGTCCAGTAACAGAAAAAGACTCTATTAGAGGCTTAGAAATAATATAAAAGCACTTCAGATAGAAAGTACCAACACTTATTTCTGCCCAGCATTTTGAAGCACACTTATAAAACAAGGAATGGCACATACTGAATGATTTTTTTCCCCAGTAAAGTCTGATAGCTTGCAACAGTGATCCCTTGTAACAACACATCTGGACATGTCTGACAACTCCAGTAATTACAGAGAAAAAGATGGTGTTTGGAGCACGACAAGAATCTGTCTACGTTAACAAATAGCACATTGCAATAGTAATATACCTGGAGTACAGACTACCTGAAGCTCAGTGCCTGCCATCCACAATACACTTTTTGGAGATGGGTACTTCAGACTAGCTCTCCTGCGATCCCGTAGCGAAGTTGCCCATTAGCATTCACAGCACACTGGGGTTGTGCCCTGGATCATGTCTTTTATGCATTATCTGTAGTTTTATCTAAAAGGAATGTGGCTTGTACTTTGACACCACTCAGTACTGCATAAAAACCACAGTAAACAGGGGCAGTTGGGAGACCTGCTTCAAAAGCATACTATTGGCTTGATCCAACACCTTAATGATGGTGTAAAACACAGGAGATGTCCATGCTGCATTCATTTAAGCTTTGCAGGAAGCACAGCACTAGTCGTGGATGAAGGTATCTAACCATCCATCCATCCATCCATCCATCCATCCATCCATCCATCCATCCATCCATCATCTCTCAGTTATTGTTTAATAGCAATTTAAGATTTATTAATGTTGTGATGCAGATCAAAGGTTAAATTTTAGAAGCACTCAATGATTGATCTAAAGATTAACAAAGTGATTTGGTAAAATATGATTAAAATAGTGACTTGATTACAGATTCCAGTATGAAGATTCATACTAAATTACTGTAAGGTATTCTGAATCAAAGTGTATATGCAAGACATACACACATACAGCACAGAAATATTTGGATATCCAGTGAAATATATAAATATCCACCCTCATAAATGTAATCGTGCAAAGTTAAACACATAGATAGGTAAAGAGGTGGATGGAAGAGGCTAGCTTATAGCTAAGATTTCCCTTAAGTTTAGAGCAAATACTCACAGTGCATTGGTATTTCACCCTGGTCTTCCATCAGCTTTCTGGGCAGACAATCTTCAGACTGCAAAAAGCCTGAGCCTGAGAGGCATCCCAGCTCAGATGCTGGTCACAGCCCACTGCAAGCCAGGAGAACTCAAAGGATCTCACTTGGAGTTGCTGTTTACAGGATCTGAGATAACCGACTTGAGCCCAACTCAGATGATGAAATACTCTGGTACCTTCCACCAGTTGCATTTTGAAGTTCTAGTATCATCCCCTTTGGGCCGCAATGCAGGTACAGGTGTATTAGGCTGTCAGGATGCGACTGATTGTCATTATCGCTCCCAAGCAGGTGCCAGGTATGTTAAGGGGGTGCCTTAATGCTCTGGCCCACTGCCTTTTGCAATCCATCTTGGGTTGGTATATGGCCCAGGAAGGGAGGGAATCACACCAAGCAGCCCAGGAGCAGGGGGAAGTACCTAATGTGTGTACTTTTAATATAAAAAATTATTTTAAAACTTTTCAAATACTTTAGTATAATGCACGTTTTCCATCAACAAGACTGAAGTATTTTTCCAGAGAAGTGGAACATTAATACAGCAACAACAGGTGAATTAATGCCAAGTTCTACACTGAAAAAGGTCTGTATTTTGATCAAAGAATGACAGTTAATTTGATCCTACACGTACATAAGAAATAAGAAACAAATGGCAGTGAACCTCTCAAAGTTATGTGGTACAAGAGTTATAAAAAGGTTACGTGCCAATCTTTGAGACTGTAAGTAGAATTTTCAACAGACTGTCTCCCCTGCCCTGGCTTGCTTTCAAGTCTGATAACTTACTTGCTCCTCCTATGCTTCCTTAAGCAGTGCTGAGTCTGAATAAACTTAAAGGAAACTATTCATTAGAATACCAAAAAAAAAAAAAAAAAAAAAAAAAGGAAAAGGCAGACCTTTAAAGCCAAGCATTTAAATGTTTTTAATTGGTTCTCTTTTTTTGCAGAACTGTCACTGCAGCCTATAGGCAGGGCAGGCTATAAACTCAGTCCTAAATGGTGACTTTCTGCTGTTCTTTCTCACCTCTGTGCTGAACTGAAAATGTAAAATCTGACAGTGGAGACCACTTTAAGCTTGACAATCGTCTATTCACATCAAAACACTTCACTACTGTCCAGGGAAAACCTAGTTTTCCAGATTGAAGTCCAGGAAGCAATTCAGAAGCCTGATAAAACTGAAAGACATTTAAGAAAAAGGTTCTTTAATTTGTCACTTCCGAACAAGACCACAGTGACCCATTTTGGTAGCACCTGAGCAACTGGGAAGGAAGCATCCCCTGTTCTTTATGACTGTGTCACTCTAGTAGCAGTAACAAATAGGGTGCCAACAGCAGCCTATTGTGGAGCCATCAGTCAGTATTGAGAGCATCCCATATTACATCAGTCTTACAAGGCTCTGCATTATCCTGGGTTGGTATTCGCCTCCAGTCCAAATCAGAGAGAACATTCTTAAGAAAATGAAGAAACTTAATCAGGTGATACAGTTTTATCTCCCTTTCTATACAAGTGCTGCCTTATAGACTAAGTTGTTTTGGAACCTTTGTAAGGGCCGTGCTAAAATTACTACAGGTATCAAAAGACAATGACACTGCAGGACACTACAACAGACCCTTGAAAATACCATACCTACAGAAAGCACCAGTGAAAAGTGTCTTTGTTTTATTCAAACATGCACAGCAGGGATAAGATCTTCCAAACTCTGTTGTGATGCATGATCTTAAAAACAGTCAGAGAGTGAGGAGGAGCAGAGTGCAACTTCCCACCCCCAAACTGCTTTCAGTGGCACCTGGTGAACCCACTGATGGATCCAGTATTGTCAGCTTCCCCAAAGGACAGAACCTGGCTGTTAATTCCTGGGCTGAAAAACACGTTCAAGATTCCCAAGCATATTAGACTGGCTGTTTTCCCATCCTCTTGCAGACATTCAGGCCCCTTAGAAACAGAGCTTGCTTCTAAAGGATATGGTCTGTACTTCACAGGGTACATGCTGTTAGCCTGAGTTTTAAAGAAATCACTTCGCTGATTTACTAAAACTGGAAGAATACTTATTGCTGTAATCTTTATTACTTTGAAATAACGTATAACTAAAGTAAAGTCAAGAAGGTTTTCAAATCTGCCTTCTGGCTTCTTTCTCTTTCTTCTAGGTTAAGCATCCGTTTTAGCTTAGAAAAGTGAAATTTGGAGTTTCGGGGAGTCTTGGATGCAGAGCTGGTTGTTGCCTGTCCGGATACACACGTTCTGAAAAACAAAAGACTCAAATGTCTTAAAGGTGAGGAATCAGAATTAATGTAATGCAACTATGAAAGTGAGCAGTCAGAAGCGTAACACTGTTATGCAAATTTTAAGCCAGACGTTTCACATTAATGACAAAAACATAATTGGGCATTCTTTGCACACAGTCACTTTTCATTAGAATCTTTGATTTTAAATGTTGGAAAGTCAAAATGGATCTCCCCACTCAATGGATCTCCCCAGTCAGACCACTGAAGAAAAATACTTCATTATCAATTTAAATTTTATTAAGTGCCTGATCTGAAATCAGCACATGACGCCCTTTCCCAACAAGGTGTCATACACTCTACTCAGCAAAGTGCCTCTTTAAATAGCAGAGAAACAGGTACCTGGGAAGTGATGAGGGACTGTTCCCTTTAGATCCCAACCTACTGCAGCTTACAGATGTCACTTTGTTTGCAGACTGGATTTTTACATCAGGTGTGCTCAGGCTAGATTTAATACTTGGAGTGCCAGAATTTTGTGTCATGGTAGCCAGAAAATCCCTGCTTTTACCATAATGTCTTGTTGTTTTGTTGCACGAGTTGCAAGTAACCAGCTACAGAGAGAAGAAAGGAAATACCAACCATTCTTTCAGTCTTTCCACCTTCATGTTATAAAGCCATTGAAAGAATTATTCGAACTATTCTCTAAATATCATGACACAAATTAAATATTTGCTTAAGTGAAACATGACATACTAAAAAACAACACATTCTTTACACCTAGTATTTTCATTCAGGCTTCTTAAGCCAAACACATCCCATGGGTTTATCTAGAAATTACTCCAATCCCCTAGCAATTAGTTTCAGGAGAACCATAACTCTGAATGTGATGTTGTACAGTGAAATGTGGAAAACAACCCTGTCAAAACAGAAAGATGAAACAGCACCTGAACTGGATGTATGATATCTTGAGTATACATTAGGAGTATTTGTATTTTTCTAAAAACCATGGCATACAGTGTGATCTAAATTCATTAGCATATTCTAACCCCAATGAAGTTATATTACGCACTTTTCAGGGAGACTTGAGATAAAATATTTAACTACCAAATTCTCAAAAATAGCCATCCATAACTAATAACAGCAAGTCTTAAGTGAACAAAGAAGAGGCTTTCTATCAGTGCAAAAATACTTACTACAGTATGGAGGAGGTTCTAAGCAAAAGGCACTTTCTCTTCTATTTGTTTACTTCTAGGCTGCAGGAAACTTCCAGCAGCAGAGTATGTTGCAGAGGTGTATCAGAACAAATAATGTCAGACAGTCACAGAGACTGTCAAATATTCCTAATATCCCTTACTGCCATGGCAACTACTGTTATTAAGAGACACGAGAGTAATACAGACAACTTTTTGAGACACACAATTACACAGACTGAAAAACAGTTACATGATGTTTCTGGTTAAAAAAACATACTCAAAAGAATGTCACAAAAACGTCTAAGCAGTTTTGAAAACATCTATACCAAATCATTCTTCAAAGTGTGTAAATTTACCTAAATTCAGATTGCTTAGAAAGCATCACACTGAGAAACGCTGAAATGAAACGTTTTCAGTTAAGTGTTTTGACTGTATCTAGACATTATTTTGTCAGTCTAAAAACAACAAAAAAAGAGAAAGATCATTAACTTATACAGCTCAGGTATTGATGTATTTTTAGTTCTTCTAAACGAAACTAAGATGGGTAAAGCATCACATGATAGTTTATCACTCCACAGAATATAAATGGAGAACACCTTACAATGTAGGAATTAGCAGATTAATCATAGCACTGTACAGCTAGTTTTCATTCCCTGGAATGCATGTGCAGTTAACTCCAAAAATTTTAAAAGCCCTGAAATTGCTTCTGCCCTGAAAAGGCGTATAACAGAGGAGCTTTCTCAAATCAAGTTCTACTTGCTAAGGAAGGTATAAGAAGCACAACCTGACACGTTGTTGCTTGGTTTAATTTTCAACCACACTCAAATTTTCATTTTCACAAGTCTCAGGTATTAGATTATAGGGATCTACATTGCTAATTTTGAAAGCTGTCAGCTTCTGACAGTATTTTAAATACTTAAGACCAGAAATACATAATCCACAGCACAAATGCAAACAGAACAGAGCAGAACACAAGTGCAGCAAACTGTAATTACATCCCAAGATTAGAGTATTACCCGGAGTTTAAACTGGACCTATTGCAAACTGAATTTTAAACTACTCGTATGAATGCACAGCATGTCCTACAAACCTCTCCAGCTACAGAATTCCATAGGACACTGTTCATCAGTTGTCTAAAGAGACAGTTCTTAATATACATTAAACGTTTTTAATCCCAGAAAAATAAAGCAAAGATTCCAACTTCTCAGATGCCCTTTCTGCTGCTCAACTATGATCTACAGTTTGGAGAGAGTAATATCAAAGGTGCCTTTCTGGAGCACCCTATTTTGCCTTGACAGCTGAGAACCTCTGATATCTCCTCAGTTTAATTTTGTGCTATTGACGCTTTAATAATTTTGGTTTTGCAAATTTTACTCCCCAAACCAGCAGACTTTCACCTGAGAAAATGCCAAGTGTGCCAGCAACTGCTGGGCACAATAGGGTGCTCTCTCATTTATTAAAACATCCATTCACATAACCTTTTTTAATAGTAGTGCATGCCTTGGCAACACTAGATTAAATGTCTACTACTATTCTTCAAATAATAGTAATTAGTATAAAAAATAGTAATTAAATCTTACATTCCTGATTAACTTTTAGTAAAAAGAACTGAAGCCCCAAGAGCAGCATTAACTTGTTTAAATTACCTGTGTGGTTTAGTTTTGAAAGACCTCCTATAAACAGTAATATTCAGACAAATTTAAGACATTCAGTTCGTACAGAAGTTAACAATAATCTGATGTAGCCGTGAGAGCCTACTGAAAAAAATGAAATAAAGCTTGTTTAGTTGAGCAAATGTATTTTCACGCAACTGATAAAACTGAAAAAAAAATGACAATCAGTCACTCAAGCCCTTCTTCAGAGCTGAAACAAAGGCAGTAAACATCAAGCTACGCATACTGGCAAAACCAGCCTGACTTCAGCCAATGGCACATTCTTCTTACCAGGTGTATTTTTGGGTATTCTTAGCAATGGATTTCTAAGGATCCTAATGGCTTTTAGGAGAGAAGCAGCCTGGTCCTAGATCTGCCACAGTCCTAGGAAGAACAGAAAAGGCAAAAATCTGCCACTCCTGCCGTTTTTTTGCAGAGCTACAAAAATGACACACGTAGCTGACAGTGGAAATACCACAGCTTCCTGGCAGGAAAAAATTACTTAATTTTCAGCCAGATCTTAGATATCTGCAGTCTACCCAGAGCACTGCTAAAGAGATCAAAGGGAGGGCAGAGCTGTTTGTGTAGCTCCTCTGACATGTGGGGCTGTGTTTGGTTTTTGGGGGGGAAGCTTACTATTCCTGTCATTGTCCTCATGATGTCTTTTTTGTGAAGGATAGATTTTAAAGATTTTGATTGTGAATAGAATTTATCCTAAAAGAAAGGAAAAGTTATATGCTCATGAAAAAAAGAAATCCGTAAGCATCTTCTTTTTTATGCCACTGAAAGGTTTCAAGGAAGTTATCAGCTATTTCGAAGTTCCAAGTAAATATCCTTACCAGAACACTTCTTGACTCCCTGTACTTTTTCAAAAGCTTCATCTGTTTCATATTAAGTTTATGGTTCTTTGCTTCATGTTTAAGAACCTTCTCTATCTGCGGAGTCACTTTCATCTTTGGTTTGAGACGCACCCGGTAGCTATCAGGAACCAGGAACTGGAAGCAGTACGGACATACCCTTTCTAATCCACATTCATTATCTACAGATTAATAAAAAGTGAAATGTAAGTGAAATAATTATGTTTTATAGGCAAACATTAAAATCAAATGTTTCTATTTTAACATTATCTAGATAGATGTTTTTGTTTCAGGTGCAACTAGAACACAAGAGGAAGCCGAGTGTCAGTATGTGTGCACCACTATGTGCTCAGCTGAGCACAATTCACAAATTTTCCTGCAATTCCCCCCTGAAAATCTTTAACGAGAGAGGCTCACAGTTCCACAAGGACCTCCATGTGGGCACAGTCTGTGGCCAGATCAGTGACACCAAAGCCTTGTTTATCTCTTTCCTCGTTAAATTCAAGAAGATGACAGCAACTCAGCCTGAGATGAAGAAATGCTTTGAGATAAATTTCAGACCTAATACTAAGAGGCACGCTCCTGCATCTGCTCTATTACTTTGGGCTACCAGAGCTAGATACAAGCATCTCTCCCTTAACCGCCGCAGAAGCACCAGGACCCCGTTTGTCTCGCAAGCCGGTCACTTCTGCCCGCGGCCCTGAAGCACTCCCGGCACAGTTTTGCAGGGGCAGTGCAGAGGGGGAGGAAAAGGGAGGCTCAGGGAACGCCTGCGAGCTCCCGGCCTGCGTGCCCCTGCCCTCCCTCCGGCCGGCCGGCCGCCCAGGCAGCCCCTGCGCGCTGCTCTCCCAC